TTTTGACTGTATATATATATACATACATACAGTACAAAGTCCGAGATCCGGACATCCAATATCTGGAATGATCTAAAATCCGGACCTCAAAGCCACCACCAACCAATTTTTTAGGGCTTTTTTGAAAGGAAGGGGTATGCTTTACGCACGCGCATTAGATTTTTTTCCTCATCATAAAAAAACATGCCGGAAATCCCGATTCTTAATCTCAGTTTGGCACTAAATAAAATATCTCATTATTGAAGAAATAATTATTTTAGCATAAATTTGTGTGATTAGTAACTTGACTCCATAGCTGCGTATCTGCTTGGCATAATCTCAAACCGAAACATTTGTTAATTTTACACCAACTAATATTTTATATCCTTGATGCCGAAATCGCGAATCATTATTTATTGTATTTTGCTTTCATCACCGCATGTTTATCAACGGATGACAACTTGAGTGATGAATCATGCAGCGATGCCAAATAACAGAGTATTATACGATTACAGATTTAAGTTTAATGCGCTAAAATGTTGACAAGGGGAGATTTAGCAGAAATTTCTTTCCTTATGCTAAAAATAGATTTTGTTAATGATACTCATAGGACAAACGATTATATTTAGTGCTATTTGAATTAAGAATAACTGATTTGTTATTCACATAAAGCCAGAACCAGCTCCAGAGCTCGCATGGCCGCACCAGGCGGCAGAATTTAGCGAAGTTAAACAGAAGTTTTTCATTGCAATGACAATGCCCAATCATCAATCAATTAATGGAGGGCGAAATCTGTAGTATGGTTCTAAATCCATAAAATACAGCTACTGATAAGTGATACTTAAGAAAGTAACAGAGAGGTTACTGAACGAGAAAAAATTTTGATTGACAAGTTATTCGGAATTCTCGACACAGCAGTTACAGGACTTGAACAATGGAACTTAATAACTGAACAAGAAATTATATGTCTATAGTATTAGTCTAAAGTATTAGCAGAGAAAACAAATCAAACAACTCACATTGAAAGAAATGTTTAATAAAGTAAACATATAAATATTAAGCTCTTTTCTTTGGTAAATTTTGATACCCTTTAAATCATAAATGCTTCATTATTTCATAAATCACGATTTCATATTTTCAATTTTATAATTTCTACGTGCCATCTTAGTAGATTTAAAATGATCTAATATCCGGAAAAATCTCAAATCTGGGATCGCCGAAGTCCCGACGAGTCCAGACCTCGGACTTTGTACTGTATATATATATATATATATATATATATATATATATAATACGGAATGTATATTTTCAGTTAAACTTCTACCCAATAACTTTAGTAATTCATGAAAGTTAATTTTGCGTCTAGTTAATTCAGGAAAATTAGTTTCAATTAGTTGTTTTCAGCTTTAAAAATATTTAAAAAATTTTTAATTAGTTAGTTATTTTCAACTAATAATTGTATCGCCATTAGCAAAAATTATGCATTACTATCAACAACATAGGTTTAAACCAAATACTTAATTGTCTATTGAAGCTTCAAAACGTATTTCCGAACTTCACTTTTTTCTCGGCTAGCGTTACCGAATTTGCCCTTGGCGAGACCTAAAATCGAAATGGAGCCAACAGATTTCCCGCGAAATCGATAACAGACCCTCTGCAGAAATAAACTCATAATCCCGATATCCCATACATATAGTATGTGCAAAAGAGAATAAACTCCGTAGAAGGTGATAAAAAATTAATTTATGGCTTAATTGAAACAAACACAGAAATTAAGCTAAGCAAAAAACGTGTAAAAACAAATTGAAATGATAAAACGAAACTTAATTTTCATGTGAATTTTCAGCGCTGACTCTCCCATTCTAGAAATTTCAATTTGTTTCAGACAAAGACCACATTTAAGGATTGCCATCCATCAATATCCAGTCTTTGTAGTCAGCTTGATGAGGCCACAGTTTATTGAAAATGCACTTTCCAGGCATCTCTTTCCTATTGGCGTCGGAAGGGTTGTGGCTTTCCAGGTTGGGACTGCTCTAGTTTTGGCAAATATTTTCAGAATCCTCCCCCCCCTTTTTTTTTCTCGAGCACCTTCATCATCACTTTCGCCTCTTAAAGAACTTCCGGCTTCACGCTTTCGTCACAATCTGCCTAAATTTATGGATAACACCTGTTTCGAAAGATTGGGTGAATAGCCAATCAGACACCGATACTTTCGTTCGGGTAGCTAATTTTTTTTTTTTTTTTTTTTTTTTTTTTTTTTTTTTTTTTTTATCGTTTGCAATGCAAATCCGCCAACAGATTGGTTAAGAGCCATGTAATTTTAATTCCATATCCATGAGAAATCGTAATTCACACTTAGAATGGCAATCATTAGAAATGATAAGAAATGTCAAATGAGCAAAATTAAAAACCATTTATTCATTTCAGCCAAAATTAAGGACTTTTACGGACCAAAAATCATTTTTGAAAAAATTAAGGACTTTTAAGGGCCGTACAAACCCTGCGTACATCGCGAACACATTTGCCTTTAGCACTCTCTGCGAAGTTTTGTTTTTCAAACTTTTGTTTTGGAGTGACTGACCTTTATTCCTAGCACTAAATTCCTTAATTTCTATTGGTTTCCCAATTATTTCATTTGCACCGTTTAAAGCCTTTTCCATTGCCAAAGCTATTTTTAAAGTATCATCTAAACTGAGATCATCCTGTTCAAAAATTCTATCCAGAATAGCCCTATCTCTTAGCCCACTAGCAAATACATCCCACAACATCGCATTTAACATACTCTGATTGTAAGCACACGGTATAGCAAGTGACCTTAATTCTGCCATATACACACTAATTGTTTCCCCTCGTGCTGCTTTCAATTTAAAAATATATGCCTACTAGGAATTATAAGTGGCTTAGGATTTACACTGCTGGCCACCCAAACAAAATTTCAAATCACAACAAAATTTATTTAGTAGATAACATGTCGACCAAGTATCAAATGATTAAACTTATAGACTTCTGTGAAGTGTGGTTCCATCCAGAATCAGTAGCCAGAGTAGCCGCCATTGTTGGAGATCACCGCTGCCACACGCCTCGGCATTGATTCAAGAGACTTTGGATGTGTTCTTGGGGTACAGCAGACCAAGCAGCTTTCACACGTTGCCAAAGTTGATCTGGTGTGGCAGCTTGGGATGTAATCTAGGTCAATCGTTCAGCAACCATGGACACATGTTTTCTATCGGCGAAAGATCAGGACAGCGAGCTGGCCAGGGAAGCCATCCAAGCTGGTGATTGACGAAGAACACTTGGATGATGCGTGCCACAAGTGGTCGCGCATTATCCTATTGAAATGTGGCTGTGGGCAAGCCCTGAAGGTAAGTAAGGACAACTGGCTCCAACACCTTAGTTTAAAGTACCGGCAATGCATATTAGAGGAGTGTGAGAGTGATATCCAATACCGCCCCATAACATAATGCCCGGTGCAGGACCAGTGGTGGTGCATAATGCAGCTGTTTAGCATCCTCTCTCCACGGTGTCTCCAGACTCGAATCTGACCATCGTGGTGTTGCAGACAGAAGTGTGACTCGTCAGTAAAGAAAATTTCATTCCATTCTGCCTTCCACATCCTTCTTTCATTGCACTATTGGCGACGGAGATATCTGTGGTTCTGCATCAAGGGTAGACGAAGCAATGGACATCTTGCGGACAGACCACTCTGCTGTAAACGGCATCAAATGGTACGTGCAGACACTGGATGATGCGTTACAGACTGAATGTGCTGTGCTGTGCTATGGTTCATGACATGACTGAGCGATCCGTCACTGCCATGCACACAATGTTCCTGTCATTACGTGAAGTGATGCACTGAGGTGGATGCGATCGAACCTGTCGGTCTGTCGTACCCTCCTGCATCCAATGGTCACATATCCGCATTACAGTTGTTTGGTATCATCCAACACAACTACCGATTTTCCTGAAAGATAATCCACACTCTTGGCAGGCCACTATCCTTCCTCTGTCGAACTCGGATACTTAATCAAACGATGATTGCTGTTTACTACGAGGCATAATTAATCGTTTTTTTTGAAAAACCACAAGAAAAACAGAATTGCCGAATTTGAAATCGTCGAAAACTACAAACCTTAAATAGTGCTTTGAAGTGTCGCCACAGGGGCACGCGATGTGCGTCTGCGCTGAAATTCTAATCATTTGAACATCTCACCTCCGCTAATGCATGTTGTAAATTTCATGTTATTTGCATGTTTCCCTTCAGGTTGTTGCATTTATGGCGGCCAGCAGTGTAAATGATTTCTTAATTTTGTTTTTAACACATTCAATCTTTATCGGAAGGATCATCAAGAGCCAGCAAGTTTTTTAAGAGACTATACATTTTTCCGGACAAACTAGAAATCAGTACTTTCCCACACTTATCCTGTGAAACATTTTGTATATCTAAATAACTTTCGAATCTCTCTAGAAACAAATCAAATTGTTCTTCATGTTCATTATATTTTTCAAACTGAACTGAACGTTTCGAATTGTCCATCTGCGGAGTAATAACTGAAGTAAGTCTCTCCATGAGAGCTCTATTCTGTGCTATTAACTCAGTTACAAGCTGCTCCATGATGAGTCTCCCGAAAGAAAAGTGATTATAAAAGTTTTACCTTGAGCAGTCTTCAGGGAATCCCCTAAATCCTTATTGAAATTGCATTAAGCAACAATTTTTTTTTAAAATCACACATCCTCGTTGCCAGCTGTCGTGTATCCTTTAGTGGGTAATTATTTCACAAGATACACTTTTTAAACTACATGCTACTTTTATTATATATACAATATGTATCATCACTCGCATACATACTTATATCTACAGCTACTCGCATTTCAGTCCTTTTCTTATTACTGCGCGCGCTTCGATGCTTGGCACTGTGCCAGCTTGAAGTCCAATTATGATATACCACATCGATAGTTCTCGACACACCACAAAATCTCTGAAAATTTTAATGATGGTATAAAAATAGGAATATCATACTTACTTTGTTAGAAAAACTTACAGCGATAATTCTTTACATGCGATACGTAATCGCATCACAGGAATCAAATGAATCATCATCATGCTTACTGACAGCATGAAGACTTGGACAGGTAGAACTATGGACCAAAGCTTCAGGGGTGGATTCAGAAGAGGTTGATGAAGGGCTCCTATTACAATAGTTACGAACTTCATTAACCATATCAGCTGGCAAAGGAGCACCAACTGCATAATGTATAACCATACCTTGAAGCCATGGTTGTAGTTGTTCAAAAGGAGGTCTACAAAAAAATATATATTCTTTGTATAGAGCAGCAACATATGAAATACAAAACTAAATTTTATATCAACTATTTCTTTACAGAATAATATGACAGGATATACATTAGAGAAAAATATTTAAATATACATATATATAGTAAAACTGATGGTAACTTTTCCTTTAACAGCTGACCTAGAATAAATAAATCTAAAGTACACATGATTATAAAGTAATTAAATCATAAAAAACAGTGATTAGTCATAAAGTAATTAAATCATAAAACAGTAATCAGTCATAAAGTAATTAAATCATAAAAAATCTAATGTATATACCACATAACTTAAAATTTCATCATTAAAAAATGGAAAAAAAAAAAAAAAAATGCCAGATAAGTAAAATTAAGGAACTTCTTTTGCCAGTTTAGGCAGAAATTAAGAATTTTATGGCCCAAAATTCATTTCCAAAAAACCTAAGCACTTTTAATGCTTTTAAGGATTGTACAAACCCTAACGATAATAATTCAAAAAAAATTTTTTTTAAAGGAAAGAATGAGAGATAAGTAGATAGATAGATAAGAAGGAAAGATAGAGAGCTACAAAGTCAGACTGAGAGAGAATCAAATTCAAGAGTAACTTGCCACAATTTGGTTTAGAATCTTCATAATCATATTTGTTCCTGGAAGGCTTTTCAAAACTTTTCACACAATTTCACAAATATAAAAATTCTGTATACCTATACTTATTTTGAATATTATTTGAATTTAAAGTTCAAAATTTTATAACTCATTTTATTATTATAACTTGCATGCTAACATCATTTGTAATAGTATACTGAAATTATGGCTATTATTATTATTATTACATTTCTGATTTTCTTATTTTGCGCAAAACTGAAAGACCCCATAGTTTTCTTCAAACACAAACCATCTGTTGGGCATATCTCCATCTGTTAGGTATATCAACTTTATTGATGTTCTAATCCATCAGGGGTTAACAGATGTTTGGGAGTTGTTTATAAAGGCCTACATTCCTTGTATAAAGCAACTAGACTTTTTGCACTGCACTTAAACATTCCATTATACATTAAAATAATAATAATAAAAACCACACTCCATTATATAAATATATATATAATGGACTGTGGTTTCATGTGTAATTATTATATTATTATATATATACAGTACAAAGTCCGAAATCCGGACTCATCGGAACTTTGGCGATTCCGGATTTGGGATTTTTCCACATTACAGATCATCAATTTGAATCTGGTAAGATGGCATGCAAAAATTATACAATTAAAAATATGAAACCGTAATTTATGAAATAAAGAGCAATTATGATCTAAAGGGTATCAAATTTTATACAAAAAGAAGCTTAATATTTATTTGTTTACTTTATTAAACATTTCTTTCAATGCAAGTTGTTTAAGTTGCTTCGTTTTTTGTGCTAATATTTTCTCTTTAATTCTATAAACAGACATAATTTCTTGTTCAGTTACAAAATGTCACTGTTCAAGTCCTGTAATTGCTGTGTCAAGAATACTGACTAACTTATCAATCGACATTTTTTTGTTTTCAATAACCTCTCTATCACTTTCTTCACTATCGGTAGCAGTATTTTATAGTTCTAGAACCACACTACAGATTTCGCCATCCGTTAACTGATTGATGAGTGGAACATTGTCGTCACAATGAAAAACTCCTATTATATGATCTTTTATTACTGCTTCTCCACATTTCTTTACAAAATCCAATAACTGAAAAACTTCACCTTTAGTTTGTGATATCCGAAAACCTTCAAATTCGTGGCTATCATCTTCATTGTCCTCACCATGAAATATGGTACCCGGCCATAAATTCTGCCAAGCATTTTTAAAAGTATCTGGAGACACATCCTCCCACGATCTTGCGATGCTCCACACAGCAGATTTTATGCTAAAATATTTCAAAAATTCTTGAATAGTCTTGCCATGGTTCAAGAAATTTACCATAGATTTTAAAAATGCTACTTTATATTTTCATTTCAGGGCCCGCCCTATTCTGATATCCATAGGCTGAATGATAGTCATACAAGTTAACGGGAAGGATAATGCAGATACATTATCTTTCATTAAAACTTTAAGTGAAGTATGAGCCGAACAGTTCTCTACAATCAGGTCTATTTTTGAGTCATCGGGTAAACCAACTGAATTCAAATGTTGCCGAGCCTCGGGTATAAAATGATTTTCAAACCAATCACATCAACACTTGTGTCACTCATGCTCTTTTATTTGCGTGATATAGAACGGGGAAAATCATTACTCCTTTAAATGCTCGAGGTCATGCAAGTTTTCTGATTACAAAAAGTTTGCTATTCTGCGTTCCTGCAGCATTTGTGTACGCTAAAATTGTTAGTCTTGCTTTGGAACCTTTGACACCAGTTGGTGCCTTTTCTGTAGAGATTGCAAAGGTATTTCGCAGTACATATTTCCAGAAAAGACCAGTTTCATCAGCGTTGTAAATTTGTTCTGGAGATAATTGTTCACTAGTAAAGAGTTCAACGAATTCATCTGCAAATTGTTCAGCAGCTTCAGTATCAGCTGAAGCCTTTTCACCTGACATTTTTAATTGTCTTTCACCATGGCAATTTTTAAATTTGGTTAACCAACCTATAAAGTGCACTCATAATAATCGAATAAGTGCACTCATAATAAGTTAATTTCTTCATGAAATATTTTCGCTTGAGCCATTAGTATTGGACCCGTAAATGGTACGCCTTTGCTGTGATGCTCTATGACCCATTCAATCATCACTTTGTCATGATCGTCACTTTTAGCATAACGAACACTTTTTTTTGTTATTCATTACAAGTTGGGTTCCGGAATCCACAAAAAATTCAAAAAGTTCCTTTTTCAAGGGTTCGTACACATTTCTACACATAGAAATTAAGTACTTTTAAGGACCATCAGTGAAAACAATTAAGAACCTATGAGCAAATGGGAACTGAATAAATTCAATTAAAAATATTATATGTCTGAACTTCACTTTTGTAATACCATCCTAAAAATAAAATAGATCGTAAGTAGGATGAGTTATTATTAAACCTAAATTAATTAATATAGTTATTAATAAGTTTGAGAATAAAATAAACTTTATGAAATTTAGATAATTTTTAAGGGTAAGCATTAGTTATAAGTAATTAAATTAGATGATTAAATAACCTTAGTCATTATGGATTTACAAGGCCATGATTAAATTTTTATTTTAAAATACATGTAGCAATAAATATTTTATGCTCATAATAGTTGGACAGATTTGAAAGAAAATAAGTGACTTTATTAACATTTTACTAACAGTTAGCTTTATGTTGATGTTTTTCATGTCTCCTTTTTTCACATACCTGCTCAGTCTAGAGGTTTAGTAACTAGCAGGTAGATTTTATGTCAAGTGGCATAGGTGAAAATAACAAGAAAAGTCATAATCAAACAAACAAAAGACTGACTGCTGTCGCTGCTGCTGTTTGCCTAGAGAGAGACCTGTTGATCAGAGCAAACCTAAAAGGTCTGGTGTAGGCATGGCTGGCAAGTTTTGATAGTTAGTTGGGCTCTGTCTGATGCAATTAATGTTGTACTTTCCTGTAAAGTTCCAAGGGTTGTAACAGAGTTAATATACTTTAAGGCTCCAGTAAACCACCAAAGCACCGGAGGTAATAAGCTGTTTTGTATTATTTCAAGTCTCACAAGACACACAGAATAAGTTACACACGAAATTTTTACATTTCTGTGTTTTATCTTGTGACAATAGTAAGTATTAATAAAAGGCAATAACTGGCTTTAATGTGCAGAGATCATTTTTAAGGGTAAGCATTAGTTACAAGTAATTAAATTAGATGGTTAAATAACCTTAGTCATTATGGATTTACAAAGCTATGATTAAATTTTTATTTTAAAATACATGTAATTTATGGCATTGATTCTTAAATGATATTAGGATAATTACACATTAAAAGCAGTTGTTGCTACAAAATATAAATGCTTTGTAGCAACAACACTCGACAAAATGAGTCTTTTTAATTTGAAACCTTCCCAGACATTTTGGCAAATTTATATTGATTTCCTTCGCTTTAGGCTTCTTTTCTAACAATTAAAAATTTGTTCCAATACGCAAACTAATGTTCTCACTAGTTTCTACGTTCTTTATCTCCTAACTTGTCACCCCTCTCCACAATGTACCTATGAGGGTTTACTTGATCTGGTAAAAGTTAAATAGTCCACGCCCCCCGACAGATGTGAAGCAAATTATCACTATGTCTGAAAGTAACTACAAAGTCAGACAAAGGTTTAAGTAAGCCTCTTATTTAAAAAGGACTTGGAATATAATGGCATGTTCTTATGCTAACAAAATCAATTACATCTCGTGGTGATGTAATTAAAAAAGAAGAGTCAAATTCAAACTAAAAATGTGGACTAGTCGTCAAAGACTATACAACTGAATTTTAATTTAAGATGGCTCAGTAACTCTAGTGTCATAACAAATTCAAATGTCAGCAGTGATAATACAAAGACAAATAATTGCAAATTATCAGAGCTAGTAGGAACTAAACAGGGAGCAAACGGAGGTCAGAAACACACTCTGTCTTAAACTCCTTAAGCCTCAGTTTCAAAACTGTCTAAGCGTTTCGTATTCTTATGAAGAAATGTAAATGGAAAATTATAGTAAATGCTGAAATTATAAGCAACTGGGTAATTTAAATATTAACTGTACATATCTTTGAAGAATAATTTTCTTTCTTTTTATGTATTCAATTTCTTTCTTAAACACGTTTCCTTTTCAATTTAGAATTTTTGGATTTCATTAAAGATTTCTGTTATTCTACAAAAAACTAAATGCATTTAGAATTTACAGAAAAAGCTACTAATTTTATTTCTTCAGTAATGAGAACATTCAGAAAAAATATGAAATAATATATGATAAGGACCGATTACAGAACTGACGTGGCAGAATTTTTAGAATTTAGTAACACACCGAGCAACAAAATCTAG